TGATGTCCAGTCTGTTTCTACTTTTTACGGGAGAAACCACGCTGCTGAAGCTACACTCAACCAAATAGGTGGAGGGAAAGGCAAAGAAACATATTTCAGCTATTTCCCACAGTTTGAGATATTCGTTAGTGGCATTGGTCTTCATCCAAAAATCCATTTTATACTGCCTGAATTTGTATCATACTAGTGTGTTACTTCGAATCTCAATGAGATTTTCCTGGATGTTAACCAACATTGCAGGGCTGTACATCGAATGATGCTAAAATGCAAATCAGGATTTCCATGTCAATCAGATCCTGAAACCTATCTTTCGTTTTGTTTCGGATTTGTTGTAAAGGATTTGCATAAATAACCAAGTCTTCATCCTTCAGCTTCTCCGTAACTGTAGCAAGAATTGGGGACTGTGAACATTGCCGATATCTGATATTTTGAGCCTAAACTCCCAGCTTGTTAATAAATGCGATGAGTCTCCTTTACTTGAGATGAGCTTACTCAACTTGTCTTGAAGGGTTTCATTTAGTATGTTTACTTTTACAAAAAATATCAGCCAAGTAAAACACATCAAGTTTAGCTGATAGCAGTTTTCTCTCATAATCAGTTTCAGAGTGGAAACTGATGATGGTATCCGAGAGTGCAACAAATCAATCAATCAACAACAGTACATCTGTAGTGACCTGGAGATTCCCCTGTTTGGCTGCCGCATGCTGCGTAAAATATTACAAAATCACAAACTTCTATTTTCTCCATGTACATAGCAAATTAGCCGCTCGCCTGTTTGAACGTTGCTCGCGTTTGTTTGAGTCAACATAGCATCCGCCTTTCGAACGGCGCGACGCTCGTCGTCTCCGCGGCCATCTTTGCTCTCCGCGCACGCGACCACACCTTTCCCTAGCTAGCTATCTTCCGGTGCCTTATTTTTAGCACTAGATAGCTTTTCGCCCCCTTAATAAATTTTTCCTAGCGTTGCTTTTGGTGTTCTTCACTCACCGGAGATTGGCCTTATATTTGCGTATTGGTTCTAAAGCGTAGCGATCCTGCTTCTCGCTTTATTGGTGACCTCCGACTTTTGGTCATTATCCGGTGAGCTTTCGCTAACCTTTCTTTTCAGATTTGGCCGCATTTTTCGCTAATCCGTCTGATTTTCACTTTTCATTTTCCGGTTTAATCTCGCTGGCTCGTTATTTTTCTCGCTATGGAAACTGATCGCGTAGATTCTGACGTTCAGATCGGCACAGTTACGCTTCTTATCGCACCTTTTCGCGAGACTAATCCTAAGTCTTGGTTTGGTCAGCTAGAGTCGCAATTTTCTTTGCGTGGTATTAGGTCCGAAAAGACCATGTTCCACCTTGTCGTTTCCGCGCTTCCGCTAAATGTCATCGATGACATTGATGACATTCTAGATCTTTCTGACGACCAAAAGACTTACGATGCAGTCAAGACAGCTGTTCTGAGAAGATCGACAACGAGTTACGAAGCTCCTCAACGCAACCGATCTTGGCGATCTTAAACCGGCTCAGCTGCTTCGAAAAATGCAGAGCCTAGCTAAACCCACTTCGATAGATGATTCTTTTCTTCGGGAAATGTGGTTGCAACAACTTCCGCGCTAGATGCTACACATCCTCTGCGCTAGTGAGGATGCACCTTTATCCAAACTGGCCGATACAGTCGACCGAATTTGGGAGTCGTACGGCCAGGTTTCGCAGGTCCAGACGAAACCGGACGACGATATCGCCACGCTTAAATCCCAGATGGCAATATTGACTCGACAATTTGCAGACTTTTCGGCCTCCGGACATAACCGCTGTAAATGCTCTAGGAGCCGTTCGCGATTCACGTTCAAAACTCTCCTTCGCGATCACCGATTAGAAACGGTTACTGCTGGTACCACGAACGATTCGGCCAGCAAGCTGAATCATGTCCGCGCGCCCTGGTTCCTTCAAACGACAGCAGCAGGGAAACGGGCGGACCAGCACGTAGGGGCGACGGACTTAGCTGGTCAACGCAGTCGCCTTTTCTTCTCTCACCGATCGTAGAACCGGAGTTCGCTATCTCGTTGATACTGGTGCAGAAGTCAGCGTTCTCCCGCGTGATCCAAACGACCCGACTGATAAGTGATTAGCTCATTGCGCGCAGCTAACGGGACCATTATCCGCGTATATGGTCAACGCTCGCGCACGCTAAATCTCAGCCTCCGACGAGCTTTCAAATGGATATTCCTCGTTGCGGATGTTCAAACGCCTATTCTTGGTCTCGACTTCTTACGTCATTACGACCTACTCGTCGACGTTAAGCGACACCGTCTAGTCGACCGCCTTACGAATCTCGCAGTCATTGTGACTTTGACCGACATCGCGTCAATCAGTCCCGTGTACGCGACTCAACTTAGTTCACACCCGTCGGGCAAACGCTGCTCGATAGTTTTCTGCAGGCCTTCCGTCCTGCCGTCCCGTTGCTTTCCGCAACCGACGCCGCGACCACATCACATCGTTACGAAATTTCCGCCTGTGTTTGCAAAAGCCAGGCGCATGACCCCCGACAAGCTCAAAATTGCACGCTCCGAATTCGAGCACATGCTAGACTTAGGCATTATTCGCCCGTCTAAGAGCCCGTGGGCGTCGCCTCTACACATGGTGCCTAAAAAGTCAGGAGACTGGCGTCCATGTGGCGACTATCGCGCTCTCAATAACGCTACCGTCCCCCGACTGCTATCCGATTTTGCACATTCAGGACATCACGGCTAGCCTACGTGGTGCCCGTGTGTTCTCGAAGATCGATCTGGTTCGCGCTTACCACCAGATCCCTGTAGCCGAGGATGACATTCCGAAAACCGCAGTCATCACGCCTTTAGGACTTTTCGAATTTTTGCGAATGCCCTTCGGTCTTCGCAACGCAGCTCAGACTTTTCAACGCTTCATAGACTCTGTCACGAGAGGTCTCGACTTTGTTTATCCTTATATAGACGGCATCTTAGTAGCTAGTTCTTCCGAAGAACAGCACGCGGAGCATCTCAAGATGCTTTTCGAGAGGTTAGCCTCTAATAGCATTACTGTCAACGCTGACAAATGCATCTTTCAGCAACCATCTATCGAATTTCTTGGTCATCGAATTGACCAGCATGGCATACGGCCGCTCGAAGACCGAGTCAGCGCTATTAAGGACTTTCCCGTTCCGACTACTTTGGCCGCCATCCGCCGTTTTAGTGGGATGATCAACTACTACCGTCGATTTCTGCCACGTTGTGCCGACTTGCTCAGTCCATTGACCGACTTACTTCGTGGACGCAAGAACGGCAACGTCGAGTTGACGCCCGCTGCAACCGAAGCCTTCAAGGCCTGCAAAGAGGCCTTGGCTGAAGCCGTTATGCTTCACCATTTCGACCCCAAAGCTCCACTCAGCGTTGCAGTCGATGCATCGGACACCGCCATTGGCGCCGTCCTGCAGCAATTCACTGAAGGATGCTGGAAACCACTCGCTTTCTACTCCCGACGCTTACAACCGGCAGAAGTCAAGTACAGCACGTTCAGCCGCGAACTGCTGGCAGTTTATTCTACCGTCCGACATTTCAGGCACGTCTTAGAAGGTAATTCGTTCGTTATCTTCACCGATCATAAGCCGCTTATTTACGCCTTTCGAAATCAATCAGCTCGACACTCACCACGTGAGGTTCGTCAGCTGGATTTCGTGGCTCAATTTTCTACTGACCTCCGACACATTTCAGGTCAGAATAACGTCGTTGCTGACGCTCTTTCGCGCGTCTCCGCAATCCACACCGCTGGCCAGGCAATCGACTTATCTGCCATGGCTACCGCGCAACTAACCGACACTGACTGTCAGAACGTCAAACAAGATTCTTCGCTACGAATCACATCGCATCCACTGCCGTCATCTGATGGCACAATCTTGTGCGATACTTCTACTGGACGACCTCGACCCGTCGTTCCAGAAACCTTTCGACGTCTAGTTTTCGACACACTTCATAACATCGCTCATCCAGGCATCCGAGCCACGATCAAGCTCATATCCGAGAGATACGTTTGGCTCGGAATGCAACGCGATCTTAAGCGCTGGGCACGCGGTTGTCTAACGTGTCAGCAGGCCAAGATACAGCGGCACGTGTCCGCTCCGCTTGGTCGTTTTCCGCAAGTCTCAGCTCGCTTCGCCCATGTCCATCTCGACATAGTTGGACCCTTGGCACCATCCAGAGGAATGGTCTACATTCTGACCATGATCGACCGATACACCCGTTGGCCCGAGGCCGTACCTATACCCGACGTATCCGCGGACACCGTAACGCGCGCTTTCGTTGAGCGCTGGGTCGCTTCACATGGCTGTCCAGCCACCGTGACTACCGACCGCGGTCCGCAGTTCGAATCCTCGACCTTCAACGATCTTCTCAAAGTCCTCGGATGTCAACGCATCCGGACTACCGCCTATCACCCGCAATCCAACGGCATGGTGGAACGTTTCCACCGACAGCTGAAGGCCTCACTTAGTGCCGCTAATGCACTAAGCTGGACCGAAGCACTGCCTATGATACTGTAGATGCGCGGAGGACTTCGACAACACGGAACAGCAGAAAACGACAAGAGCAAGAAAGAGTATCCGACAGAGGCACCGGAATCAGTCAGCATAATGCAGGCCCTACCGGACGAGTGGAAAAGGGACCACGGGCGACGACGGGAAGAAAGTCTGCTCCCGGAAGATCTCAAACGATATTGGAGGAGAGGTCAAGAATTCAGACAAAAACGCCGATTGTTATGCCCCAAAGAATGACTCCAAGCCGAGTGACGCCTGGGAGATCAAGCAAGTCGAGAGCCTTCGAACAAATCCAGGCTGGTCGGAAAGCGACGTACAGGAGCGGAGATACGAAGCAAAATAGGCGAAGCTGAGTTGCCGAATTGTCGCCAATTGGTGGGCGAAGGTGCCCGTCGACCGCAACGCATTTCTGGTGCGTTGCGGTGTAGAAATGTGACTATATGTGTGTGGGCGTGAGCGCGTGTGGGACAGATCGTGACGTGCAATACAGATCGTGCTTTATTGCCCCGTCGTTCTTGCTACATTGGTGTCGTGACCAATCAGGATGAAATTGAGCTGGCCAACGCAGTTCGCGGAGGGTGATGTGGAGTCCTGGTTGGAGGAATTCGAAGCGATTGCCGCTTGCAATGGAGTGAAGGGAGACGGAAACCTACTGACAGCTTTGGGTACGCTGTTAACCGGACGAGCGAAGGCGACATATTTGTTGACTCGGAAAGTCAAGGCCGGTGGTTCGTTTGCTGAGATGAAGGCAGCACTTTGTCTGGAGTTTGGAAAAGAAATCGACCGCCAACATGCGCTGCAGCAGTTTCACTCTGCAAAGTGGGAAGAGCCGGAAGATCTGATGGTGTTTTTCCACAGGCTGAGCAGACACGTGGCAATTGGGCTCCCTGAGCTGGACGCCGCGGCAAGAGAACGATTGTTGCGAGGTCAGTTTATACAAAGTCTGCCAAGCGAACTCCAGGAGAAGGTAAAGCTGGCGTCCATGGTTGGGGTCGAAAAAGCAGAAGAACTGGTGACCATTGCACAAAGTTTCTTGGGGTCGGTGACCGTACGAAGAGTGCAACCATCCGAGCTGGAGCGCAAAGTACACCAATTATCGTGCATGGTCGAACAGTTGTTGGCGAGGGACAACCAAAGAAATACGGCACGACGGAATTGCTTCGGAAATCGGAGTAGCGGCCGCTGTTTTCGATGCAATCGCACGGGCCATTTTGCCAGATATTGTACAAACAATAATTTTTATCGTTGCTTCTCTTTATCCATACCGAGCAGATGGCAAGTACCGATTCTAGAAATAACCATCGAGGGCGTGTTAATACAGGCCATAGTAGACACGGGAGCGGGGGTATCCATTACGAAACGAGTCGATGGGGTCCCGTTAACTCAGTCATCTGTTGTAATGCAGACGGTCGGAGGATATCGTTTGAAAGTAACGGGGGTACAACGTTTACGATTAGGAATAGGGAAGACACAAATCCGTCATTCAATGTTCGTTGTGGAGGGTGCGACGGAAACGATAATCGGCAATGATATTCTCAGGAGGCTGGGCGCCAGAATCGATTTGCGTAATGACGTGGTGATAGTCGATAAGGAGAGAATCGTGATGAACACAGGAAAATCCAACCGCGTGGGGTCCGTAGCAGTCATACCGGATTGTTCAAATCACGCAATACGCGAGACGCTGCTGAAATACGCGCATTTGTTCACGGATGCGAATGATGACTATGGGTTCTGCGACTGGATAGAACATAGAATACGGCTAATCCCGGGCGAGCGGTGCAAACCAGTGTTTAGAAGAATACCGCAGAAAACCATGCCGGAGGTAAAGAAGCAGGTGGCAGAGATGGAGGCTAAAGGAATCATTAGACGAACGACTAGCCCGTACTCATCACCGGTTTTGCTGACGAAAAAGGCGGACGGGACCTTTAGATTCTGCATTGACTTCAGAGAATTAAACAGAGTGACCGTGAAGGACGCGTTTCCGATGCCTCAAATGGACGAAATTTTCGCCAGTCTTCATAGCGCAAAGCACATTTCTCTTATCGATCTCCGTTCTGGATATTGGCAGCTTCCAATTGCAAAAGAAGATCGGCATAAAACGGCTTTCAGTGTGAACGACCAGCAATACGAATTTTTGAGGATGCCATTCGGACTGTGCAATGCTCCTGCAACATTCAGGCGACTGTTACTCATGATCCTGGAAAATCTTCAAGGGGTGGTTGTTTATGGAGATGACATCATTATCTACTCCGAAACAGAACGGGAGCATGCTACTAGACTCGCGGCTGTATTGCAACGATTGGACGAGGCGGGCTTGAAACTGAGTCGAAAGAAGTCACAAATAGCCCAGAAGTCTATTGTGTGTTTGGGTCACATTGTGGGAGATGGCCAGGTAAAACCACTTCCGGAGAAACGGGAGACGATCAAGAATTTTGCAGTGCCAAAATCCAAGCGTCAACTCCGATCATTCCTGGGAATAGTGGCGTATGATTCGAGATTCGTGCCTCACTTCGCGGAGAAGATCAGTCCTTTGTTAAAGCTTCTCCACAAAGACGAACCATTCGTTTGGACACCGGAAGCCGATCAAGCTTTCAGCCACGTAAAGACATGCGTCACAGAGGGACCAGCGTGTTTACGAATACCCAGTCCTGGCGAAAAGTTCACGGTGTCGGTCGACGCAAGCAATGTGGCAATTGGAGCAGTACTGTCTCAACCGGCCGGGGTGATAGAGTATGCCAGTAGAGTGCTGACGGCTGCAGAGCAGAAGTATTCGACGACAGAGAAAGAATGCCTCGCTATCGTATGGGCTCTGGAGAAATGGAGAACGTATCTCCTAGCTAATGAATTCCGCGTCATCACGGACCACAAGCCGCTGTCGTGGTTGATGACCTCGAAAGACCCGCGGGGGCGCCTCGCACGATGGGCATACAGACTACAGGAATTTACGTTTACAATCGAACACGTAGATGGAACGAAGAACATATTACCGGACATGCTGTCGCGGCCAACTTTGGATGCTCTCATGCCAGAAATGGCCATACCGGTGTGTGCGGTCACGGCTGAGGATAGGAGTCTACTGGAGAATCAGAAAACAGAGGAATTTGTGCGATTACTTTGCGAGCATTTGCAAGCAGGCACCAAGCCAGACGCACAATCGGGTGAAATGAATGATCTCCTCAAGATCTGGGACCAACTTCATGTCGTGAATGGCAATTTGCTTGTGTCAGTAAACGGGAAGAAAGTACCTTATATTCCACAAACGTCCCGAGAACGTGTGATCCAAATGACCCATGATAACGCTCATATGGGCTTCGAACGAGTTTATGATTTGCTACGGAGAAGAGTATTTTGGCCAACCATGAGAAAGGATGTAGCGGCGTATATCCGGAGATGCCCAAACTGCCAGAAATGTCACGAGATGGATGCGCCGAGACCACCAATGAAATCAGTTGAAGTCAACGAACCACTACAGTGCTGGGGATTGGACGTCTTTGGACCGTTACCGGTGAGTCGATGGGGAAATAGCTACGTTCTGGTTATGATCGATCACTTTACGCGATGGGTGGAAGCCGTACCCATAAAAGACCAGACAGGCGAGACCGTGGCGCGTGCATTCGAATTCAACGTGCCAGCGAGGTATGGGATACCACAATATGTTATTACGGATCAGGGTCCATGCTTTGAATCGAAGGCATTTCAAACGTTATTAAACAAGTGGGGCATCGAGAGACGGCGTACATCACCCTACCATCCTCAAGCCAATGGAATGACGGAGCGATTCAACCGAACCATGAAGGAATGGATAACGTGCACAAAGTTGGCGTGGGAGGATGCCTTACCTGAGGTTCTGCTGTCGTATCGTGCCAGCATGCAGTCAACCACCAAGGTTTCGCCATTTGAGCTACAGTTTGGTAGAGAGCCCCGAATTGCACTCGATACATGTATATCGGAGGTGTGTGAACAGCAACATCCAGCACCACATCACAAAAGATTGCAGGATACGGCCAGAAGAGGAACGAGATCACGGCAACAACGGAACAAGCTAAACTACGACGCCCGATATGCGACTCACAAGTGGAGACCATTCAACATCGGAGATCAAGTCAAGGTGCGCAAGCATGATCATCCAATACACAGAGGGCCCGGGGCAAGCAAGTTCAAAGAACGCTGGCAAGGTCCCTACACTGTAGTTGACCGAAAAGGAGTGAATGTCAAAGTTGACAATGGAATGACGAAGCGCTGGATGAATACAGACCTGATGAGACCATGGCACACGAGAGAGCAACAACTTCGAGGAGGGGCGGGTGTAGATGCGCGGAGGACTTCGACAACACGGAACAGCAGAAAACGACAAGAGCAAGAAAGAGTATCCGACAGAGGCACCGGAATCAGTCAGCATAATGCAGGCCCTACCGGACGAGTGGAAAAGGGACCACGGGCGACGACGGGAAGAAAGTCTGCTCCCGGAAGATCTCAAACGATATTGGAGGAGAGGTCAAGAATTCAGACAAAAACGCCGATTGTTATGCCCCAAAGAATGACTCCAAGCCGAGTGACGCCTGGGAGATCAAGCAAGTCGAGAGCCTTCGAACAAATCCAGGCTGGTCGGAAAGCGACGTACAGGAGCGGAGATACGAAGCAAAATAGGCGAAGCTGAGTTGCCGAATTGTCGCCAATTGGTGGGCGAAGGTGCCCGTCGACCGCAACGCATTTCTGGTGCGTTGCGGTGTAGAAATGTGACTATATGTGTGTGGGCGTGAGCGCGTGTGGGACAGATCGTGACGTGCAATACAGATCGTGCTTTATTGCCCCGTCGTTCTTGCTACAATACTACTTGGTATCCGATCAGCTCTTAAAGCTGATTTGCACACGTCCAGCGCCGAACTGGTATATGGACAACCTCTTCGACTACCTGGGGACTTCTTTTCTGGAAACCCCAGAACACCCCGCTACGACGCGAATTACGCTCGGCAGTTAGCCACGAGCATGCGCCAAATCAAAGTAACCGACGTGCGAGAACAACGACCTAAATCATTTGTTCCACAAGATCTACTGCATTGCGCTTACGTTTTCCTTCGAGTCGATGGTCTACGCAGGCCACTCGAACGACCCTACGAAGGTCCATTTAAGGTTCTTACACGTAAGGAACGCGTATTCGCTATCGACCGCCACGGTAAACGTGAAACTGTCTCTATCGACCGTCTCAAGGTTGCCCATGTGGAACCTGAGATCGACGATGACTCCCTTCCACCTTCGGACGAGTCAACGCAGCCTATGATCGACGACACGCCTGATTCCGATGCTACGAAGCATTCTCCGACTAACCCTTCCGACTCAGTTCCTTCCGATTCTATCGAGCCGAAAGCGTCCTCATCCGACAAAACTGCTGGATCGACAACGCCTCCGACCGAACGTCCGAAATCGACTAGGTCAGATAGGCGGGTTCATTGGCCAGCGCGATTAAAAGATTAGTCTTCTTTTCATTCTTCCTTTCCCGCTTCCTTTTTGCTTGTGGCCTAACCCGCCCAACAAACGGCAGTTTTGAAAACCCAAAAAAATTTGCAAAGCGTTTTGAAAACCCCAAAAATCGCAAAAACGTTTTGAAAACCTAAAAAGGAGAAAATCGTTTTGAAAACACAAAATGGTTCTCGCTTTATTCACTTATCGCACTCGGTAAGTGCTATCGCCTTTTGTTAGCTCTGTCGCTCGCACTTGTTTGACACCGCGTTTCCGCTTCTTTTTCATATCCTCAACACGCGGACGTTCAACGACTATCGAACGTTACGTTTTCGGACACTACGTGCTCAAACATCATGTGCTGTGACACTACGCACTCGAACGCTACGAACATTTCCCCCCATTTTGTGTTTTTGGCACCTGTAGGGAGGACACGGGTGGGAGCCCCCTAGCGTCCGATCGCATTGGTTCTCCCCAGCAGCTGCATCAGGTTTCACCGCCTGGTCTCGCAGAAGGCTGGCCGGCGACGGACAGTCCTCACGTAGATCGAAGGGTCACCTACGGTTCCCTTCTAAGAGGGGGGCTGTGTAGTGACCTGGAGATTCCCCTGTTTGGCTGCCGCATGCTGCGTAAAATATTACAAAATCACAAACTTCTATTTTCTCCATGTACATAGCAAATTAGCCGCTCGCCTGTTTGAACGTTGCTCGCGTTTGTTTGAGTCAACATAGCATCCGCCTTCGAACGGCGCGACGCTCGTCGTCTCCGCGGCCATCTTTGCTCTCCGCGCACGCGACCACACCTTTCCCCTAGCTAGCTATCTTCCGGTGCCTTATTTTTAGCACTAGATAGCTTTTCGCCCCCTTAATAAATTTTTCCTAGCGTTGCTTTTGGTGTTCTTCACTCACCGGAGATTGGCCTTATATTTGCGTATTGGTTCTAAAGCGTAGCGATCCTGCTTCTCGCTTTACATCAGCCATTTGAACTGATGCTTCGCTATCATACAATCATGATGACCTATGGAAGAAAGAATAATAGGAGGGAGAGATGGGAGACTTACCTGAAAACCTTAATGCCCTAAGCAAACATTCGGGGTCAAGGCGTCTACATCTTGTGCAGGCAACAAAGTGGCTAGGTCAGTTACCTTTGGAGAGCCTTCTAACCTCTGTATGTAACAGTAGTAATTAGAAATCTTCACCTTTCTCATCAAACAACTGCTGGAAAAACGATATTGAAGTGGGTGCGACTTGATGTTGTTGGTTACCATTATAACAGCTGACAGTGCCTTCCCAAGTTCTTACCCACTAGGTGTTCTCGATGAATCACACAGTGAATTGTATGAACATCAGGGAGAACATCTTTTAGATTGGCAATAAATCCCTTACATCTTCCGACCATTGTGGTAACACCATCTGTTGCACTTGCAATTACGTTCTGAATTGGGATGGAGTTTTCAGTCAGATAGCCATTTACCATCTAGAATATAGACTGACCCTTCGTGTTAGTGTTAATTCTCTTAGCAAACAGCATCTCTTCAATTAATTCATTGTCTTTGAAGAAGCGGAAGTATACCAGGAGAAAAACATAATTATCAGGTAAAGTAAATTCATCTACTTGTAACGAAAATTTGCTGGACTGTAGTAAGATAACCAAGCTACGTTCTATGTTCTAATCCATCGCATCTATTTGTCCGGATACAGTGGAGTTACTGAGCGGTATGGTTTGAATCGCTTTTTGAAGATTCTTGTTCATGTCGCCCGACAGTATTATTAACACGGAAGGCAAAATAGTATTCCATCCAACATTATGTGGACTACAATTTCTAGCAAGTAACTTGCTGGTTTTATAAGACGCAGCAAACCCACTCACCTTTTTGAACTGTCAGCAAACATTCTCTTTAAAGTTGGTCTGTTTCCTAAACCATCGTACAGCTTTCTAAAAAAATTCACAAGTTTTGTGCTTGCGTCCTTATGAACAGTTTACTTGGTCGCATACTTTCATCCGAAAGAGTACTCTGGCAAATTAAACCCAGGTATAGTGTGGTTTTGAGATGATGCGATAGATCCAAATGAGAGGTATTCCACGGAGTATTGCAGACACTACTTCATTGCCGAGTAGCTCAGTTCTGAAGTATGTACTTATAAATGGTGAATATGTAGTCTCATGTAACATTTCTATTGTTTTATTTTGCTTTCACAGTTACATCATGGGTAAAAAGTAACACCTTTAGACAATGCGAGACAGATGGCATGAATGATTGGGGACACTAAATTAATTCTTCGTTTCCAATCAGCTTATGGGATCAAATATATGTTGAGCATACTTGTGATATCAGTTGGTGGACAAAATATAAAAATGTAAACATGTCGAAACGTTGTTGGTGGCAACCTAAAGGTCGTTCCTGAGGATACGTTTTAAAATACCATGGATAGACAAAAGAACTAAAGAACACTTCTTGACGAAAGCCAATGGAGCACGAAAACAAAAGGAACCTGGACAATAAAAAAGACTCCCTGTACTCATATTAACCACAGAAAATTTGGAACAAACAGTGACAGCAGGTAAAATGAAGGACAGAAGAGACGTACACTAAAGAGCTGTCGGGTGTTTCAAGAAATTGGCGTGGGATCGTCAACAACGTAAGCAACAGCCAACATCAGTTTTTGCCAAGTGTGGCGCCCAATGGGTGTTGACAGCGTAGTTGAATATCATGTAGTATGAGAAGTATTCTCATGTACATGTTAGGCCTACAAGTTGTATATTTCTCGACTATCCGAGATACAATACAACTAGGTGGTCTGGTCATATGTTACCACAGAAACGAGCTGTCCACCCTTATGATATAAATTAACAAACTTGCTTGATAATGTGAAGACGTTCGCTGAACTGAATTTTAAGAGAGTCTTATAGCGCGCTCTGATCGTTTCCATTCTTAGTCGGAACGGACGAGCGTTCTTCAGAGATAGCACGACATGCACAGAGTAGCCACTTGCATTTGCGATGTTGCGGGATAACGTGACCGAGCCGTCGAATGTACACCCGGGCTGAGGTCTCAGCCAGAGAAACGTGTACCCTGTCACGACTACACTCAGACTCAACGGGAACAAATAGCTGACCGGCACTTAACACCAGTGGTTGCGTCCCGATAGGAACTCTGTTAGTGTCAGTGTGGTTCCGTGTGGAAGTGCCGCAGTGTGCTCAGGAGAGCTCAATTGGTTCACTGCGGATTGACATGATGGATACCTTAGTGACATGAGGAGGGTTCAATGGGTTCACTGAAGCTTGCGCAATAGATGCATCAGTGTCCTGAGTATATCTTAGTTGCTTCAAACTCCTTGGGATGGCTGGGTGTTTACTTGCGCAGTCTGAGTCCCCGCATGCTGATTTTATGTTTGAAGTGAGCCCAGCGAAACCTGCTCAAGGTTCGCGCAGGTATGTCAGCTCCGCAAGAGCAAATCTATCCGGTCTGACTTTCACACATTCGTAAACAGCCAGTTGCGCACGCTTAAGTAATGTCACTGACCGGTAGTGACCAGGTGAGACTGGAGCACAAGGAAAAATTATCAGAAAAATAAACTTTTTATTGGTGCTATCACAACCCACTTTTCACATCATGGCTCCCTATAAAGATTTTCATTCCCAGGATCTCCTGAAAATTTTATATGCCCCCATTGAGAATGACTGATCTAAGCGATCAAACATTTTTGACAAGTCCAGGTAAATGATATGAACTCCCGCTCCAGCATCAACTGCTTCGGTCCAGCTGCTGCGTCCAATTAGTAGGTTAGAACAATGGATAAAAATGCCAATGCTTGACAGGTCTCGTGGCATGGTTTGTGCGAATTACGGAAGTTCATATGAGGTTACACTGGAATGAAACGCGCATCCGGGGACTCACCATAACATCCTCGTTAACACACAAGTAAATCCGTTTACCCCGATTTCGTTGGGGTTGCTGCGCGCAATGTTTGTATACGTCTTGTTGTCACTCGATGAACGGAATTCAAATCAGGTAGTGCAGATGGTGTAATGCGTTGTTGAGTCGTTTTTAAAAATGGTTAACGTCGGCGCAGAAATGACGAAAGTCGAAAGAGCGTTCCACAGCTGGCAAGTTCTAAGAGGATAAGAATTCCGACTGCATTCCGGCCAACTTCAATCGAAGATCAGTTTCAGCAGGCGACCCGCCAATTTTGTGTTACGGCTGAGTTTCAGGAGGTGGCAGTAAATGTGGCCGGGTTGCTTTGAGATCTGGCACACCAGAATGTGGTCGGCACGTTGATGGTCATAACATCCATTGTACACTCCCAGGGCTTTCAGTCGCAGATGGTATGACAGGTGGAACCATACCTTC